AAAAGGCAACCACGTGAGACAGGTTTTGGGTTTCGAAAAACCACGTCTCACCAGCACAAGTGCCATTGACAAGCCTTTCGAAGCCCGTGTCACACGAACAGGTTGCATTCCCTGTCTTATCCGTGCTACACGTGGCGTTGGCGCCACACTTTATCAAAGAGCATTTGCCTGTGACGCATGGGACAAGAAAAATGGTGTGCTTGGTTGAGCTGAGTTGATCTTGGGAAAGCAAAAATGAGTCAACGGCAACAAACACTGCACGGAAGCAGCATGAGACACGTTCTATTGGGAAACATTTTGGGAAAGGAAAACCAAGGCAACAAGAAGAAAAGACTGGAAATGGCAACAAGAAGAAAAGGCAACCACGTGAGACAGGTTTTGGGTTTCGAAAAACCACGTCTCACCAGCACAAGTGCCATTGACAAGCCTTTCGAAGCCCGTGTCACACGAACAGGTTGCATTCCCTGTCTTATCCGTGCTACACGTGGCGTTGGCGCCACACTTTATCAAAGAGCATTTGCCTGTGACGCATGGGACAAGAAAAATGGTGTGCTTGGTTGAGCCGAGTTGATCTTGGGAAAGCAAAAATGAGTCAACGGCAACAAACACTGCACGGAAGCAGCATGAGACACGTTCTATTGGGAAACATTTTGGGAAAGGAAAACCAAGGCAACAAGAAGAAAAGACTGGAAATGGCAACAAGAAGAAAAGGCAACCACGTGAGACAGGTTTTGGGTTTCGAAAAACCACGTCTCACCAGCACAAGTGCCATTGACAAGCCTTTCGAAGCCCGTGTCACACGAACAGGTTGCATTCCCTGTCTTATCCGTGCTACACGTGGCGTTGGCGCCACACTTTATCAAAGAGCATTTGCCTGTGACGCATGGGACAAGAAAAATGGTGTGCTTGGTTGAGCTGAGTTGATCTTGGGAAAGCAAAAATGAGTCAACGGCAACAAACACTGCACGGAAGCAGCATGAGACACGTTCTATTGGGATATATTTTGGCAAAGGAAAACTAAGGCAACAAGAAGAAAATACTGGAAATGGCAACAAGAAGAAAAGGCAACCACGTGAGACAGGTTTTGGGTTTCGAAGCACCACGTCTCACCAGCACAAGTGCCATTGGCAAGCATTTCGAAGCCCGTGTCACACGAACAGGCCGCATTGCCTGTCTTATCCGTGCTACACGTGGCGTAGGCGCCACACTCTATCAAAGAGCATTTGCCTGTGACGCAAGCGACAAGAAAAAAGGTGTGCTTGGTTGAGCGGAGTTGAGCTTTGGAAAGCAAAAATGAGTCAACGGCAACAAACACTGCATGGAAGCAGCATGAGAAACGTTCTATTAGAATACATTTTGGGAACGGAAAAGCGAGGCAACAAGAACAAAACACCGGAAGACAGGTTTTGGGTTTCGAAGCACCAAGTCTCACCAGCACAAGTGCCATTGGCAAGCATTTCGAAGCCCGTGTCACACGAACAGGTTGCATTCCCTGTCTTATCCGTGCTACACGTGGCGTTGGCGCCACACTCCATCAAAGAGCATTTGCCTGTGACGCAAGCGACAAGAGAATAGGTGTGTTTACGCTGAGTTAGGTTTGGAAACGGGAAAATGAGTCAACGGCAACAAACACTGCACGGAAGCAGCATGAGAAACGTTCTATTGGGATACTTTTTGGGAACGGACAAGCGAGGAATCAAGAAAAAAGACTGGAAGCCAGGTTTTGGGTTTCGAAGCACCACTTCTCACCAGCACAAGTGCCATTGGCAAGCATTTCGAAGCCCGTGTCACACGAACAGGTTGCCTTCCCTGTCTTATCCGTGCTACACGTGGCGTAGGCGCCACACTCTATCAAAGAGCATTTGCCTGTGACGCAAGCGACAAGAGAAAAGGTGTGCTTGGTTGAGCTGAGTTGAGCTTCGGAACGCAAAAATGAGTCAACAACAACAAACACTGCACGGAAGCAGCATGAGAAACGTTCCATTGGGATACATTTTGGGAACGGAAAAGCGAGGCAACAAGAACAAAACACTGGAAGCCAGGTTTTGGGTTTCGAAGCACCACGTCTCACCAGCACAAGTGCCATTGAGAAGCATTTCGAAGCCCGTGTCACACGAACAGGTTGCATTCCCTGTCTTATCCGTGCTACACGTGGCGTTGGCGCCACACTCTATCAAAGAGCATTTGCCTGTGACGCATGGGACAAGAAAAATGGTGTGCTTGGTTGAGCTGAGTTGAGCTTGGGAAAGCAAAAATGAGTCTACGGCAACAAACACTGCACGGAAGCAGCATGAGACACGTTCTATTGGGATATATTTTGGCAAAGGAAAACTAAGGCAACAAGAAGAAAATACTGGAAATGGCAACAAGAAGAAAAGGCAACCACGTGAGACAGGTTTTGGGTTTCGAAGCACCACGTCTCACCAGCACAAGTGCCATTGGCAAGCATTTCGAAGCCCGTGTCACACGAACAGGTTGCATTCCCTGTCTTATCCGTGCTACACGTGGCGTAGGCGCCACACTCTATCAAAGAGCATTTGCCTGTGACGCAAGCAACAAGAAAAAAGGTGTGCTTGGTTGAGCTGAGTTGAGCTTCGGAACGCAAAAATGAGTCTACGGCAACAAACACTGCACGGAAGCAGCATGAGAAACGTTCTATTGGGATACATTTTGGGAACGGAAAAGCGAGGCAACAAGAACAAAACACCGGAAGCCAGGTTTTGGGTTTCGAAGCAGCACGTCTCACCAGCACAAGTGCCATTGGCAAGCATTTCGAAGCCCGTGTCACACGAACAGGTTGCATTTCCTGTCTTATCCGTGCTACACGTGGCGTTGGCGCCACACTCCATCAAAGAGCATTTGCCTGTGACGCAAGCGACAAGAGAATAGGTGTGTTTACGCTGAGTTAGGTTTGGAAACGGGAAAATGAGTCAACGGCAACAAACACTGCACGGAAGCAGCATGAGAAACGCTCTATTGGGATACTTTTTGGGAACGGACAAGCGAGGAATCAAGAAAAAAGACTGGAAGCCAGGTTTTGGGTTTCGAAGCACCACGTCTCACCAGCACAAGTGCCATTGGCAAGCATTTCGAAGCCCGTGTCACACGAACAGGTTGCCTTCCCTGTCTTATCCGTGCTACACGTGGCGTAGGCGCCACACTCTATCAAAGAGCATTTGCCTGTGACGCAAGTGACAAGAAAAAAGGTATGCTTGGTTGAGCTGATATGAGCTTAGGAACGCAAAAATGAGTCAACAAAAACAAACACTGCATGGAAGCAGCATGAGGAACGTTCTATTAGGATACATTTTGGGAACGGACAAGCGAGGCAACAAGAACAAAACACTGGAAGCCAGGTTTTGGGTTTCGAAGCACCACGTCTCACCAGCACAAGTGCCATTGGCAAGCATTTCGAAGCCCGTGTCACACGAACAGGTTGCATTCCCTGTCTTATCCGTGCTACACGTGGCGTAGGCGCCACACTCTATCAAAGAGCATTTGCCTGTGACGCAAGCGACAAGAGAAAAGGTGTGCTTGGTTGAGCTGAGTTGAGCTTCGGAACGCAAAAATGAGTCAACAACAACAAACACTGCACGGAAGCAGCATGAGAAACGTTCCATTGGGATACATTTTGGGAACGGAAAAGCGAGGCAACAAGAACAAAACACTGGAAGCCAGGTTTTGGGTTTCGAAGCACCACGTCTCACCAGCACAAGTGCCATTGGCAAGCATTTCGAAGCCCGTGTCACACGAACAGGTTGCCTTCCCTGTCTTATCCGTGCTACACTTGGCGTCCCCGCCACACTCTATCAAAGAGCATTTGCCTGTGACGCAAGCGACAAGAGAAAAGAGAAGGTGTGTTGAACTGAGATGAGTTTGGGAATGGGAAAAACAATCAGTAGAAACCAAACACTGCAAGCAAGCAGCATAAGAAGAATTGCGTTGCAATAGATTTCAGGAATCTGCTGCCTAGCAAGAACTCTTTCACATTTGGCCTCATATCATCTCAAACAACGTGGGCAGGTCCAGGCGACTACGGCAAAAAGCGCATGAGATAAGAGGAGAGAAGGATGGTATCAGTAGCAGCATAACCTGGCAAGCGCTAGTGCCCGCAGCATCACTGGCAGCGTACCTAGGCAGGTGCCATTGACAGCAGCAAAACCCTCGTGGCATGCACATGTGATGCCCTTGCTGTCACTCGTTGGGATGCATGTGGAGTTGGTTGGACACGTGGCATGCAGGCAGGTGACGTCTGCCATGGCCCATGGGGGAAAGGAGAGGTTCGTGCGTGCAGCGTGGCCGGTGAGGTGAAGCATATTCTTGGCAGACACTCTTTCAGCGTGGCCGCTGCTGCAATTTGCCCCGCGACGAACACGAACGTGTTCGAGGTTCGCCCGAACACGCCTTCACAGGCGAACGGCGAACACCTGTTTTTGCTTAAAGTGTTCGCCGAACCGAACACTGTTCGGTTCGGCAAACGGATGTGTTCGTGTAGGGGCGAACACGAACATGTTCGTGTTCGCCCCTTGCTCATCCCTACCTCTGTGCCATATCCTCGTGCTGTATGCTAGAATTACTACTCGTCGTGGCCCACGATTAGCTATACCCGTATCAGCGACCACCAGCGCCGTGTTGTACCATCACACCGGCTGGCATCATCAACCCGAACCAGCTTCCCCTGACATTGCGCTACTACTATCAACTGCTGTCCGTGCCTCATGCGAGTCACCTGGGAGTGCCGCGGGGAGTCACCAAGTGACGCGGCACAATAAATACCCAGCTGACACAAGAATTACCCAGCGGACACAAGAATTACCCAGCTGACACAAGAATTACCCAGCGGACACAAGAATTACCCAGCTGACACAAGAATTACCCAGCGGACACAAGAAATACCCAGCGGACACAAGAAATACCCAGCGGACACAAGAATTACCCAGCGGACGCGGCACAATCTCTACGCGGCAAAGATTACCCAGCTGACGCGGCAGCTGACCGCCATGACCACTTCTCCTGCCGCGCTGCTTCCGCTCGTCCTTGCCATCATCTGCGGTGAGTCGTTTCTTTCTCCTTGTCGTTCCCAAGGGGTCTTGTTTTCGGGTGCGTTCTTTTTCACATTTTTTAGAAGCTCGCACGCTGTGTCACCTTCCTCTCACCCCTCTGCTCCCTCTGCGCGCAGCGGCCGCCACGGCTCACGCAGCGGCAGGCGAGTACGCAGATTGCCTGAACGCGTGCGGGGGAGAGCCCGGCGCGGGCAACGTGGAGAATGCAGGCATGCAGGCGAGGAGTCTCAAAAGCGAGAGCACAGCGAGAGGCAGGAATGCGAGCATGCGGGTGGGGGTGGGGGTGGGGAGCGACAGCACGGGTGGGATGGTGGAGGCGAGGGTGCAGGTGGGGACGCAGATCACGGTGTCAGGCGTCAGCCATCCTGTCAGCTTCGACGCTCTCCGCTGCTTCACCCTCCCCAAGGCGGCGACCAAGGCGCTCAATACGAGGCGGGACGTGCAGGTGTGGTGGCACGGGATCGCGGGGGGGAGGTCCAAGGCGAGTGCGGGTGGCAGCAACGGTGGCAGCAAGGGACGTGGAGGTGGTTCGGGTGGGAACGTTGCGGGCACGGAGGGGCAGGCAGGTGCGGCGTGCAAGCAGGTGCAGTTCTTTGCCAACCCCGCCTGCAAGGGCAAGGCGCTGGATGAGGTGCTGAAGCCGCAATACGCCGGCCTGCGCAAATTCTTCAATGTGCCCAGGTGGGTGGGCCATGGGGGCACGTTGGGGTGGGTCCCCAGGTAAGTGAGTAATTGTCGTGAGCCACTATCGTGAGCCACAATCATGAGCCGCTGTCGTTCTTAACGCCTGATGTGATTGTGTTCCTCACGTTCTTGCAGTACAAAGAAGATCTCCCAATGGACTTCTGTTTCCTGCAAGCCTGGTGCGTTCCCAGCCTCCTTTCGTGCCTCCTCCTAGTCACCTTTCCACAGTCCTCCTTGTCACCGTACCGCACACATCTCCTGCATTTCCTCCATATGATCGTATTCTACCTGGGTTGGAACAGTCTCTGTAAGGTTTATATGCATTACGCTTGTTTACAGCGCGGTGGGTAATCGATATTGGAGGCAGCTGAATTATTGAATTTGGTACGCAGTCCAAAGTTGTCCAAGAGCTGTTCGATACTTTCAACCAATTTAGTCAATATTCCTTTTCACTAATTCCCACAAAAAAAATGTTGTGCGTGCCTATGCAATTTAAACTACAATGACAGGAACGTATTTTAGACAAATAGCAAACTACAAACCCACTAAAAAATTGTTTTGTTTATTCTTTACAATGCCCGGATGTCAGACTTTCGTGTTTCATAATTGGTCTCAGCGGGTTTTCCGTTTGGTCTCAGTGCGTCTTTCCGTTTTGAAGAGAGGATTCGATTTGTCCCCACATTACTGCGGTTGGACACCTGTCAGGCATGAGAAGAAACGAGGAATGAAATGACTAAGTGAGAGTTGGGTACAAGAAGCAAACCCTAGAAAACTGTACCCCATGTGTGCTACCCCACTATAGCCTACAGTAGCTATGTCATATAAATCTGACACACCCCCATAGGCAAAGTGGGGGAGAACAAGGGGTCACAAGACCAGTCAAGCAAAGCAAAGCAAAACAAGCTCAGGGTGGATCACAAAGTCACCACACATTCCGAGCACAAGTTCAAGGCCACAAGGCCAGTTCACAAGCAGGAGTACACATATATATAAAAAGGGCTAGACAAACAAGAGCAGGTATATATATATGTAACAGTACAAGCAAGGTCAAGAGGTGAGCAAGTGAGGCAAGGTAGGCACAAGGCCCAGCTGAGTACAGAAGCGCTGATGGTCACAAGGCGCAAGTGCCTTGGTGAAGATATCAGCTGTGTTGGCCTCAGAGGCCACGTACGCAAGACGCAGCTGACCACGCTGCTGCAGCTCACGAGCAAGAAAGTAGCGGAGAGCAATGTGCTTCGTTCTGTGCTCCAGTCGCTGCTCCCGACACAAGGCCAGCATGGCCTTGTTGTCTACGTACAGCACTGGAGGAGAACGAGACAACTCTCCGAGGTCAGTCAGCAGGTAGGTGAGCCAGCGAAGCTCCTGTGCAGCCATGGCTCCTGCGTAGATCTCAGCCTCACAACTGGAGCCGAGAACAGAAGACGAGCGAGTAGCCCGCCACGAAACAGAGCCGGAACCAAGGCTGAAGGTGTAACCCTGTGACGACCGCTGCGTAGCCTGGTCGTCAGCCCAAGAAGCGTCTGCGTGCCCAGTGAGGACCACTGGACTCTGCCCTCCAAGCACAAGCCCCATGCCCGACGTACTGCACAAGTAACGCAACACCCTCTTCGCTGCAGCCATGTGCTCCGGTCTGTGTCTCCCAGGAGCAACATAGCGTGCGAGAATGCTAAGAGGGTATGCGAGGTCAGGTCGTGTGCAGGTCATCAGGTACATGAGGCAGCCAACAAGCTCTGGGTACGGGCCACTCGACTCTACGGACTCATCCGAAGGCAGAGCTGAGAGCGAGTGGCGAGTAGGCAGAGGAGTGGCCTGAGGCGAGGAGTACGTGAAGCCGAAGCGCTGAAGGACCTGCTGCACCATGTGTGACTGAGTCAGGGTAATGGTGCGGCGTGCTCTGTCCCGGGTGATCTGCAAGCCAAGGTAGCTGCGCAGTTCACCCAGGTCTGTGCACGTGTGTCTCTTCTGCAGCTCGAACTTCACGTGGGCGAGTCCAGCAGTGTCAGCTGTGGCAAAGACCAAGTCGTCGACGTACACGAGGATGTAGAACGGCGGCAAAGAAGTGTCGGTGCGCAGAAACAGCGACGGGTCGGCAGTAGAGGGAGCAAACCCAAGAGCCGCAAGCGTAGTCCTCAGTGTGTCGTGCCACTCACGCGGTGCCTGGCGGAGACCGTAGACTGGCCGCCGGAGGCTCCACTGGGTGCCAGTAGGAAAAGACCCAGTGAAGCCAGGTGGGCGACGCAGCCAGATCTCCTCGTGCAGGCTGCCCTGCAAGAAAGCAGTGCTGAAGTCAAGAGAGTGTAGCTCGTAGTCACGGTGAGCAGCTACGTGCAGCAGTACCCGAAGAGTGGTCATCTTCGGGGTGGGAGAGAAGGTCTGAAAGTAGTCAACTCCCTGCCGCTGACTGAAGCCACGAGCCACGTAACGCGCCTTGAAGACAGGCGGAGAACCCGGCGGTCGCTTCACCCTGAAAATCCACATGCCACTGACGATGTTCGCCCCAGGAGGGGGAACAGCGTCAACGTAGGAGCCTGTGGACTTCCAGGAAGCCATCTCTGCGTCCATAGCTGCCTGCCACTGAGAGGAGTAGGGACCCTCTATCGCCTCCGCGTAAGAGCGCGGAGTCGGGATGTCAAGTGCATCCGGGTCTCCCTCAGGGGTAAGCAGTACGGACACGAGATGAGGTGAAGCAGCGGCCAAGCACTGGAACTCCTCCTGCCTGTCCTCAAGGACGTCCGTGCCAAGGGCACACTCACCCCCGACGGACGGAGGACAGACAGACTCAGACTCAGCAACAAGACTGGCGACTTAGTCTAGGCGACAGCGAGCAGCAAAGTCGACGAGCTCAGCAACTAGAGCAGACGCAGCAGTGGACTCAAAGGAAGGGTCAGTGACAACCGTAGCAAGGAGACGCGTGACAGAAGGACTGGCAGCGCGAAGAGAGTCCGACTCCGGGTCGGCAAGAGTAGGAAGAGAAGACTCAGGAGGAGAAGGCAAAGGGGCACGCAGAGGAGCAGTGGACGGACGCAGAGACATCCGGTGCGTGCCAGGGACAGGAGGAGGACGCTGACGCGAACCGCGACCACTAGTGCGAGCAGCACGGACAGGCGACGCAGGGCGAGACGCAGGCTCACGACGCTCAGCAAGACCTCCAGTAGGACCAGTGTAGGGAGACGGAGTAGGCAGTGGGGAGGCCGGCTGTAACTGTAACTGTGACGGGACAGGCTGTGGACACTCTAAGGGAGGAGGAGGACCAGTAGAAGGCGGGAGACCAAGAACCTGCTGAAGGAGCGGAACGAAGTACGGTCGAGGCCGCGCGGCGACTCCAGACACAGGAGGGACAGCACCAGCAACCCCAGGGGCAGCACCAGCACCAGTAGCAGCTCCAGCTCCAGAACCCCCAGCAGCACCAGTAGTACCCCCAGCAGGACCGCCTCCAGGACCGACAGCAGTAGCCTCCGCGCCAACACCCGCAGCAACTCCAGCTCCAGAAGTACCCGCAGGTCCAGCAGCTCCAGTACTCCCAGTACGAGCACCTCCGGGACCCGTGGCACCAGCTCCCTCAGAAGCAACAGAACCTCCAGTACCCGCAGCACCTCCAGCTCCAGCAGCTCCAGCAGCTCGCCTCCAGCGCCGGGCAAACCACTCACGCAGCTCCTGGGGAGAGAGTGGCTCCCGGCGAGAGGGAGCACCCGGTGAACCGCCAGGCACAGCACCACCAGGCGTAGCACCCCCAGGCTCAGCACCTCCAGGCGTAGTACCCCCAGGCTCAGCACCCCCAGACGCAGCACCCCCAGGCTCAGCACCTCCAGGCGTAGTACCCCCAGGCTCAGCACCCCCAGTCGTAGTATCCCCAGACTCAGCACCCCCAGAGTCAGCACCCCCAGGCTCAGCACCCTCAGCAGCACCAGAGTCACCAGCGACCTCGACAGGCTCAACAGCGTCTACCTGGGACACACCTGAAGGGGCAGGACCCTGAGGGGGGAGGGGGTCTACCGGGGGGGGACCTGGTACAAGGAAGAGCGGTGGCGGGGGGAGGGACGGAGTGCGGTAGGGGAAGAGGCGGTAGTAGGGGACCGACTCGTCGAACGTGACGTCCTGGGAGGACAGAACACGGCGAGAGGTGGGGTGGTAGAACTGCCACCCTGGGGCGTCAGGGGGGAAACCCAGGAAGACGCAAGGAGCAGCACGAGGGGACAGCTTGTCCGCAGACAAGTCGCGGACAAACGCCCGAGATCCCCAGACACGGAACGCAGACGCATCGCCAACCTTCCCCGTCCACAGCAAAGCTGGGGAGGTCTCCGGCATGGAGACCCTGGGCTGAAGGTTGATCTGATGCGCCGCGTACCGAACCGCAAACGGCCACAGAAAATGGGGGGCAGCCGCATGCATCATGGACGTACGGGCGACGTCCATGACCATGCCAATGCGGCGCTCAGCAATCCCATTTTGCTGTGGAGAGTCCGGAAGCGTGAAGGTCTGGCGGATGCCTCGTGCACGACAGTAGGCTCGCAGAAGGCCAGAGGAGAACTCTCCGCCTCTGTCAGAGTGCAGACGCAGAACAGGAAAGTCCGAGCCAAAGCTCCGCCTGAGCTGGAGACGAGCTGCGCGGATCCAGTCGATCAACACCTCAGTGACATCACCCTTGCTGCGCAAGGGGAAGACTGTGGTGTAACGCGAGTAGTCGTCAACCACCAGCAGGAAGTAGCGCTCGTGACCCTGTCCACGGACGCGGGCCGGGCCCCACACGTCCATGTGAAGCGTCTGCAGCGGGGCCTCTGTCGGAGGAAACTGGGAGGAGTGAGGGGTAGCCCGCTGCCGTCCCTCGACACAGGGGACGCAGGTAGGGCCTGGCCCCGGAGGAAGGGGAGGGAGGGACCGGGGAAGACCAGAGACAAGGACACGGGAGGCCATGCTCCGGAGACGAAGCAGGGAGGGGTGGCCAAGGCGGTGGTGCCAGAGGAGAGTCTCGTGAGACAGGAGGCGACACGAGCAGGGGGCAGACTCAGGACCAGACCTGGACGCTGCAGCAAACACCTGACCCGACGCAGCTACCTGACCAGACGCAGGGACTGGAGGAGACGCAGTGGTCAGTGTGTACAGGCTCGACCCTGGCCGACGTGTAAACGTGGCCAGGTGGCGGCCTGTCCGAGCGTCCGTGCAGTGGGTCACCCGCTGACTCGCAGGAGTGAACTGGTGAACCCCCGCATCCTGTAG